CTGGGAGAGGGCATGTCTATTAACTGAATTAGGAAGGGGTCTGGGGTAAGTTATTGTGTGGGCGAGGCAGTGGGTGTGTCTGCATGGGAGGAGTTTGTCTGGTTAGGGCAGTCTATGCTGCATGGAGAGGTGGCTTGTGTCAATTGGGAAGCATCTAGTGCAGTGTTTCTTAAACTTTTTAAGACCGAGGAACACCAAACAATAATTATATTTTATGAGGAACACCAAGGATTTCTTGTTGAGCAAAAAAAAAGGGTCGGGAGAAAGTTATTGAGCAAAAAAAAAAAAGTCCCTGCCCCTTTAAGGGAGGCCATTTTGAACTCTGTTGTTCTCTGCGGCACGCCTCCGACTGCCTCATGACACACAGGTGTGCCGTGGAACACAGTTTAAGAAACACTGATCTAGTGGGTCTATGGGTATGCATTTTGCAATGCTGTTGTAGTTCTTATCAGATAAACCCAATAATGGCACGTTTCTGTAGGCAAGCATTCATGTCCCCATTTGCATGTCTCCACAACTAGCCTGGCATTAAAGCATTCCCCAGTGCTGCCCATGCCGGTTGCTCCTGACATAGTGACACATCATAAATGCAATGAAGTGAAATAAACCCTGCTTCCTAATTCCTGGGTGTCCCTCCATAACCTAGCATGGGCAGCACACAATGTGGGACAGGCCTCAGAGGAGTCTCTTCATACTCCAATCAAGATCAGGGTAGGTATTGCACAGATCTCAGCTAAGATCATGGCCACTGTCATGCCAGACACTGCAGAGGCCCCAATCAATGTCAGGGCCCTGTCATGCTGGGTGCTGCACAGATACACAATGGGAAACAGTCCCACCCATAAAGATCACACAGTCTAAAATAAACAGATGTAGTAATGAAACCCAGGAGTCTGGGCTCCCACCCAGTGCCTTACTCCTGATTCTAGACATTACATCAAACACCTGACCAACCATTCTACAAAGTCAGAGCTCTTCAGAGATCAGCTTCTGTGCTCTGAAAAACTCTGCTCCCTCATAGTCAGGGTCTGCTATAGACCACTAACTCAGGAGAATAAGAAGTTCAATGATGCATTTCTAGAACAAACACCAGCAATATCCATGGCTGCTACCTGGATAGCTGTTGTAAATGAAACACAGCAAAATACAAAATGGCTAATACATTCTTGGAACACGTTGGGGGACAATGAACTGTTTCAGAAGGTGGAGGGAGTAACCCAGCCCTAAAGAGGGAATAGAGACCAGTAGGAGGGATTACTGGCGAATCTGGGTAAAAGTGACCCTGAAATTATACTGTTTCTTGGTTACTCTAATGAAAGGAAGGAGTCAGAGCAGCAGGACAACAGGGTTGAAAAGAGCTGACTTCCCCAAACTCAGAACAGGTGCCCTGGGAAGATAGCGGAACGGGAGCTCAGGAGAGACACAATGTTAAAAGCACAAGAGCAAACTAGACTGATGCACTGGAAAGCCAGGAAGACTAGTGAGAGGCCAATGCGACTTCATCGGGAGCTCTTTTGATCTGAAAATCCAAAGGGAACCCGACCATGGGAATGTGGACAAGGTGCTGAGAATTAGTACAAAGAACAGCAGCCACAGGCAGGGACAAAACCACAAGGCCAAGGCACAATATGTAGCAAGGGACTCATTTAGGGCCCTGTGTAACTCTGACATTCACAGCCCAGAACAGCAGCGTTCCCAGAAGCAGGGAGGCAGACATGGGGCTGTTGGAAAAATCATGGTATTAGGCTAATTTGGCTGCTTGTGAGGGAGTAAGGGCAGGGATGAGGACTCAGGGTGCTCCATCCTCAGCTCTGGCCCAAAGGGTCACTGTTGTTTCCTGTCTGGCCAGGTGACAGGGAAAGGCAATGAGGTGATCCCCAGCAGAAGGGGGGAAACTCTGCAATACCAGTTAGTGAGAAATAGTGATTGGGATCTACCACTTGGAGCACAAGCAAGGGGATGAGAGGGTCCATTGGGGATCAGGGTGTGAGAAAGCCCTGTCCTGGCACAGGGATCAGGGTGGAGGGACAGGATAGAACACCCGCCCCCCCCAACGCAACTGCTCATGCTCCAAGCAGCAGAACCTGGTCTCACCCCCAGTCCCTCCACAAGGACAGGGCCTCCTCACACCTCAGTCCCCCAGCCAGGAAATGACTCCTTACACATCCCTGTTTTTCCCAGTCGGGCAGGGCTCTCACCCCCCTGCCCAATCTTGCCCTAGGCCAGATTGCCAGCCTCATGAGATGAGACATCCCTCTAGCCCACAACCTCACTACTCTCTGAGGTAGGACTGGCCTGTCACCTCCCCATTCCTCTCTGGGATGGAACCAGTCTGTAAACCTCCATGAGCCTGCCTCAGTGGGGAGGTGGAAGCAGATATGAGTGCTGCCTCCCAGCAGTTGGAAGAAATCACAGCAGTTTGAGGACAGGTGCGTGTGTGGGGAATTGAGCAACTGTGCATATTGAATGAAATTCAAATGCCTACCCACAACTCTGTTGTGATTTTAAAAGAGAAAACCCCCAAAGCAATGAAAGAGGTTCTATAATACTTTGAGAGCAATCAAAAGATGGAGAATGTAGGTCCACTATTTAGTGGAGAAGGGGAGCTAATAACAGATGACATCAATAAAGTCCTTTACTCCTTGTTTTGCTTCAGTCTTCACTAAAAAGGTTAATGGTGACCAGATACTCAGTACAGTTAATGTTAACAAAAAGGGAAAAGGAACACAAGCCGAAATAAGGAAAGAGCAGGTTAAAGACTATTTAGCTAAGTAGATGTATTTCAGTTGGCAGGACCTATGGGATTCAGGCTCACATACTTAAGGAACTAGGTAGAGCAATCTTGGAATCACTATTCGCTATCTTTGAGAGCTCATGGAGGTTGGGTGAGGTCCCAGAGTGTAAAAGGAAGGCAGAGAGCAGCTGTCTCTACAACAGGCCGGCCGACAGAGGGAAGGGGAGACAAAGAGGGCAGATGCCCAAGGGCCCAGCGAATCAAAAGGGTTCAAGGCTTCTGGCTACTATAGGAGAGCTGTGCGGCTCTGAGAGCTGGCTGCTGCAGCCCCACCCCTTCCACCTGAGGACCCTTCCTTTCAGAGAGCATAGAGCTGCCTCCCCTCCTGACCAGGGGCCTGGCAAATTTGTTGGCCGCCTGCTCTACAATGGGAACAAAGAGGACCCAGGGAATTGTAGACCAGACAGTCAAACTTCAAAATCTGGATAGATACCAGAATAAATGATTAAGCAATTGGTTTGTAGATACCTAGAGGATAATGGGGTTCTAAGGAATAGCCAGTATAGGTTTGTCAAGAACATATCATGCCAAATCAACCTAGTAACCTTCTTTGAAAGGATCACTGGCCAAGTGGATAGTGGGAAAGTGGTAGATGTGATAGATCTTCATTTTAAAGGGCTTTTGCCACAATCCCACATAAGCAGATTAGGGAAATGTGATCTGAATGATATTGCTATAAAATGGCTGCACAACTGGTTGGAAGACTGTCCTCGAAGAGTAGTTATCCATGGTTCTCTTTCAAACTGGGAAGATGAATCTAGTGGGGTCCCACATGGGGTCAGTTCTGGGTGTGGTACTAGTCAATATTTTCATTACTGACTTGCGCATGGAGAGGAGAGAGTATGGTTGTAAAATAATGTGGATGACACCAAGCTGGGAGGGGCTGGGAGCACTTTGGAGAATAGAATTGGAATTCAAAATGGGCTTGATCAATTGAGGAACTGGTCTGAAATCAACAAGATGAAATTCAATAAAGACAAATGTAAAAGATTGCCCTGAGGAAGGAGAAATCATGCACAAGAGTATGGTGAATATCCAGCTAGGTGGCAGTACTGTTGAACAGCTTCTGGGGGTCATAGTGAATCACAACTTGAACATGAGCCAACAATGTGATATTGTGGTGAAAAGGGCTAATATTCTTGGGTATACTAAGAAGAATGTGATAAGCAAGACCGGTAAATAAGGGTCCTATTCTACTTGGCACCAGTTAGGGTATGTCTACACTACCCTCCTAGTTTGAACTAGGAGGGTAATGTAGGCATACCGCACTTGCAAATGAAGCCCGGGATTTGAATTTCCCGGGCTTCATTTGCATAAGCGGGGCGCCGCCATTTTTAAATCCCTGCTCGTTCGAACCCCGTGCCGCGCGGCTACACGCGGCACAAACTAGGTAGTTCGGACTAGGCTTCCTAGTCCGAACTACCGTTACTCCTCGTGGAATGACATACCCTATGTAGACATACCCTATGTCCTTAGCTGGAATTCTGTGGCCAACACTTTAGAAAAGATGTGGAAAACTTGCCAAGCATCCAGAACAGGGCAACAACCATACTAAATGGAAACCTGCCCTCTGAAGAAAGGTTAAAAGAACTGGGCATGTTTCATATTGAGCAAAGAAGACTGAGGGGAGCTAACAGTCTTCAAATATATTAAGGGCTGCTCTAAAGAGGACAATGATCAATTGTTTTGTGTCCACCAAATATAAGAACAATCATTGACTTTGTTTGCAGCAAGGGACATTTGGGCTGGAAAAATTAAGGACTGATCAGCTCTGGAACAGGTTAGGAGGCTGTGGACTCCCATTACTGGAGGTTGTACAAACAGGATGGATGAACACCTATCGGGGTGGTCTATGTATCCCTGGTCCCGCCTCAGCGTGGGGTGATGGATTAGCAGGCCTCTTGAGGTTCCTTCCAGTCCCTCATTTCTTTGTTTCTATGGAAATGTTTCCCCCATCACTCTGAGCCAAACAACCCCTGAGGCAGCCAGTCCCCTTTTCCCGGGGCTGGATCAGAGAGCGACCCTCACAATGGGAAAGGCCCCATGTCCCATTTCCCACACCATGAGACAGCCAGTCTTCCTGACCCTGGGCCAGATCACAGCCAGCAATCCTAGAAGGAAAAAACTGATGTCCCACTCCCAGCCATGAAAGCCAGCATTTATATGGCCAGGGGAGCTCACACAGTAGGCAGGCAGGTGATGGAGCTGGAGCTGCATACCGACTCTTTATTGCACAGAGGGATTGGGGGATGGACATGCTGCGGTTTGTACATTCATGTCAGACACAGATTCTCTGCCTCTAAGATGGTCCATTTTCAGTGTAAAAAACTAACAAACAAATAAAACCTGAAACAAGCACTTTGTGTTTTGCTTGATTCTAAAATATTTACAACCCAAAAAGAGATGTGACAACCCCCCCATGTCACAGGGGACCCCCCCATAAGGGACACTCCATAAATACCCCGCTAGCACCAATGGGGGGCAGGGCCCTGGACCTCCTCCCTCCCCAGTACAGTATGGCGGCTATTCCCCTGACAGCATGTGGGGGTGGGTACTGGGGGATGGTCTTGTGCAGAGGGAGGGGCATTGCTAGGGGGGAACAGGGGACCAGAAACAATGTCTCCATGCCTCCTGGTTGCCATGCAGGAGGCTGGAATGGAGGGGAGGGGGGGAAGTATTAACTCACAGCTTACAGCATCTTCACAGTTAGCAGGCGGGGTGGTGCCCGTTTTAGGCTGAAAGGCTCCCGCGCTGGCTGGGTCAGTGCTGGATGGGGGTGGGGCTCTGGACCCTCAGGGAGCTGGGTGGTGTAGGAGCCCAGGGAAGGTAAGAGAGTGTGTGTTTGCATGGGAGCGCATGTCAGTGTATGTGAGCTTAAGTGAGAGCACTACAGTGTGAGCATGGTCTGCCCAAGTAAAAGTGGGTTCATGTCTGCATGAACATGGATCAAGGTGAGGGCATGTGTAGGACCGGGAGCAAGTCTGAGCTGGTGAGAGAAGTGCATCTGGGTAAGTACTGCTGTGCACATGTATGAGAGAGTGTGCTAGTGTGCACAAGGGTGTGCCGTCACCTGTGTGTGAATATTTGCATGAGTATGTGTTTGAGTGTGAGTGTGGAATCATTTCTCATGCCAGTGTTTTCCTGAGGCCTGAATCCATACAGCAGGATTTGGGAGTTATTGCAAATTGAGAGTCCCTGATTTTTTCTAAGGGAGCAGAGTCTCATCTCCTCATTCCCGCCAGCCCTCCTTCCTATGCCCCCCAGATGAAATGGCCACACCCCCATTACAGTCAGATTCACCAAAGACTTAAGATCCATGTGTGAGCTGAGCCCCTGAGCCCCACAATAAGGGACTACTGCTCCTGGCAGCAGCCGTCAGACGGGTGAGTCTGTGCTGGGCTCCTAGGAGGTATCAGTCTTGAGAAATGAGAAGCTGTGATCCTGGGGGTCTCCCTTCCCTCTCAGATGGTATGGGGAGTTGGTAGCCAGAATCCACTGCGATGACCAGTCAGAAAGCCAGCCCCCCAAGAGTGCAGTTCACATTGTGGTCCCTTCTTGGGATAACCACAGTGGAGAAGGGAGGGGAGGAGTGGAAGTGGGGTCAATGGGAGACAGAGGTGGGGGAGGGGATGACTGGGCGGGGAGGAGGGAAGGGGGGGCAGGGCCCTAGAGAGGCTGGTCAGAGGGGCCACACAGCAGGCGGGTGACCTGGCTGAGCCGGGCAGCCGCACTCTCCTGCTCCTGCTGCAGCCGCTGATTGTTCTGCCGCAGACTCTGCACCTCAGCCTGGAGTGCTGCCTTGGCTGCCTGCTCCTGGAGAGCACAGGGGTCAGTTTGGAGATGCAGCACCCCCATCCCCACTTCCTCGACAAGGACTTCCCACCCCACAGCTCCTGCCCCATCTGGCCCGCCCCTGCCACCTCTTCCTACACCTGGCCCCTAAGTCCCATACAGTGCCTTGCCCCACAACCTTCCTGCTGCCTTCACTGCCCTCTGCTCCACCGCCCTTCCTGGCCCAGCACACCTGCTGCAAGTCCTCCTGCAGCTGCTGCAGCATGGACTCCAAGTGAGAGACCTTCTCCGACAGCGACCGGGGTGGATGGGCCCTGGGAGAGGGAGGAAAGAGCGAGAGACGGAGGGGTGTGGGGATGGAGGGACAGAGTTATATATAGGTTGATGATGTCCATCAGTCAAGTTGAGATCAGATGGGGAAGGAGGAGCAAAGATCCTTCATCTCCCCCCAGACCTCTTCTCCTTCTCAGGCTTGTCAATGGATGTGTCAGCCTCCCCCTAGGGAAGTGTTTGCTATTCAGCCCTCCAATAAGCTGGTGGCTTTGTGGTAAGCAAGCTCCCTAAGCTGAGAAAGGGATGGTTTCTTGCTGTTTTCGCCTTCTATTACTGCATTATCATGGAAATACACCAGAGGAGGATGGGAGGAGGGGGATACAGTGAAATGGGGCTGGTGGAAGAGAAACCCTCCCCCCCCCATCATTCCTCCCACCCCTCTGTGTAGCTCCTTACTCATCCTCAGGGGGCTGCTGGCCTGGGTTCCTCTGGCCACTCCCACCGGGGGGCTCTCTGCTCTCCAGCACCTGTTGTCCTGGTGTAGGAAAGAGGGGAGACAGAGTGAGACACTCCTCCTCAGACTGGGATTCACTACTCCTGGCCTCCAGCAAATTTACCAGGGTCTTTGCTTAGGGATTTCCCAGCTTTAGCTCCACATCAGAGAAACTCTTTGCCTGGAAATTTGCTACTGGACACAGCCAAGTCCTCCAGCAGGACGTCTCTGACTCCAGCCCCTCCCTGCCTGTGCAGGTTGGCGGCTCCTACCCACGAGGCAGCCCAGGAATCGGTGCTCACCTTCCTTTGAGAGCGCCTCCAGGATGCTGTTGCAGGCAGTAGCCAGGTTGGAGATGGAGTCCCACTCCTCCTCCAGGGACTCACTGGCTTCGGACAGAACTGCAGAGAGGAGAAGCGGGAGGAAGAATGGCTGAATGCGAGTAAGGAGCCCAGCAGCTTCCCAAAACAAGGCCCTTCAGACCCACAGTCCAGGCCCCACCTCTTGGGGCATAGGTACTAGCTGTTACGCTACAGTGGGGCCTAGCCCCACAGTTCAGCTGCAACTCCTCCTTAGCCTCTGTCCTCAGTGTTAACTAGAGTTGGGAAAAATCTGAGAGTCCCCTTCTCCACAAGCTGCCTTTGGTCAAAAGGGTTGAGATTTGGCTTCTCGCCAAAGGAATTTTGAAGGAAACAAAGGGGTCAAAACGAGATATGTGAAAACTGGGAATGTTCCTGGCTTTGGAGCCCCTCCCCCACATGTTCGTGCCATTTTTCTTTTCCCCTCCCCTGCTTTGTTTTTCTTCTAATTGCAGAAAAATCTCTTGCTCGGCACAAAACCATGAACCCAAAGCAGGCACTTGGAGCTGATTGCCGTGCTTGGGAAGGGAATGCTCCCCCAATGCTAAGGGGACGGGATGAGACCAGGGGTGCATGTGTGTGTGTCTTACTCTTGGTGATGGAGTTTCGTAGCGAGATCGTCCGAGGTAGGAATTTCTCGGTGTCACTCATGTCCGAGGTGGGCGGGGCTGTCTCATTAAGGGGTGGGGCTTGGCTGCCCATGACCCCATGATCTGGGGAAGCCTTCTCCAACAATGTGGGGTCTCCTGGATGATCCTGAGACAACACAGCGATTGATGAGTGGGGTTCTGTAAACCAGGGGTTTACAGATGAGTAAAGTTGGAATTTCAGCCGCCACTGGGGTAGGATGCAGAGGCTGATTATACAGGGAACCTTCACCTAGTGCTGAGATGCAGCCACCTTTGGAGTGCGGCATAGGGGCTGTTAAACAGGCCCACAGGTTTATTTCACAAGTAAATAACTGTGCACATCATGGAACACCACGAATGACTAGTGCATGTGAAAACCCCAGAACTACAGCACTATGAGGGGCCTGATTGCACCCTGTCGGGGGCAGCCAGGGTACTTCCACACTCACCACATCCTGCTCCGGGAGCCCCTTGGGGGTGGCTGCCAGGATGAGGTCAGGTGTAGGGTCAGGTAACATGGGGATCTCCCTGCTGTGGGACCTGTAGAGGAACATTAGCTTGTGGTAAACATAGCCCAGAAAAAAGGCGGGGGAGAATGCAGAGGGGATAACAGCCGGTGTGGGAGGCCTAGTAAGAGAGTTTTAACCAGTCTGTTGGGTGGGATATGGATCTGAGGTGAAAGCAGAAGACCTAGGAGGCTGGGGAAAGACTCACAGCAGGTTGGGGACTGGTGGAGGTGGGGTGGAGGCAGAGCTCCCAGGAGATGGGAGTCACGCCTGGTGTGGTGGGAAGCTGGAAAGGGATAGAGGTGGGGCACCCAGGAGACAGGGGTCACTCCCAGAAGGGTGAGAGGTGAGATGGTGGCGGGGTACTCGGGAGGCAGGGATCACCCCTGGAAGGGTGGGGGGTTGGGGTGGGTTGGAGGCAGGGCTCCCAGGAGGCAGGGGTCACTCCTGACAGGGTGCGGGGCACTCACGGTGGGTTGGGGAGGGCAGTGCCCTCACTGTGGCTGCGCAGGAACTCAGTGCGCTCCTCAGCCAAGCTATGGGGGGGCCCATCCTGCAGGGAGAGTGAGCGCAGCAGCTGCAGGGTGGCCGGTCTCAGCTCCCCCTCAGGCCCCGGGCCCCCCTCCGACCGGAGGGGCTCCCCTGCTGGGGAATCACTGCGGCGCTTCTCCTGCAGGGACTTCATGTAGAGCTCCGAGAAACTCCTGTCAGAGAGAGACGATGGGGCAGGGTCCCAGAACTCCCAACTCCCATCCCAGCAAGCCCCCCATCCTGCTCCACAGCACCCCCGAGAGAGGCCCCCCCCCTGCCCCATAATGCTCACCACTACCCCCCATTCTGCCCCATCACACCCTCTATTCAGCCCCCCGGATCTCCCTGCCACTGCCACCTATCCCCTTTGTCCCTCCACAGTGCCGCTCTCCAAGGATTCCTGCCCCTAGCACCCCCATCCCACCATACCCCTTGCTGGGGACTCTTGCAGCCAGTACTCCTGCTTCCTGTCAAGCAGCACCCCCCCAATGGTCGCACGCTCTGCCCCACAGCAGCTCTTCCTGAGAGCTCCTGCTAGTGCTCCTGCTGGGGTTCCCCTCTTTTCCTGAGCACCCCTGCCTGTAACCCATATCCCTGAGGGACTCTGCTGGGAGCTCCTGTCCTATAGCACCCCTGAATGGAGAACTACTCCTCCCAGCACCCTTGGGACCCAGAGCTCCCCCACTGCCCCCCGCTGGCACTGTGCTCACCTGCGGGGCTTGCCATTCTCATCAGGAGGCACCATGGTGATGGTGACTTTCTTGGCAGTGCGCAGCAGTTCAGAGGTCTGATCCCTGAGGGACTCTGCTGGGAGCTCCTGTCCTATAGCACCCCTGAATGGAGAACTACTCCTCCCAGCACCCTTGGGACCCAGAGCTCCCCCACTGCCCCCCGCTGGCACTGTGCTCACCTGCGGGGCTTGCCATTCTCATCAGGAGGCACCATGGTGATGGTGACTTTCTTGGCAGTGCGCAGCAGTTCAGAGGTCTGGGCATGGCTGAGGCTGGGCAGTGCCCGCTCGCACACAGGCAGCAGCCGGGCGCCAGGCTGCAGGCCAGCTTTCTCCGCAAAGGTGAAGCGCTCGACGTCGGTGACAAAGCCCTCGTTGTCCACCTGGAAACCCAGCTGGCCCAGCCCATTCCTCAGCAGGGTGAGCTCCCGCGTCTCGCAGCCCCGTGTCACCAGCTAGAGGGAGGAAGAGCATTTGGGGGGGCTGGCTGGCTCCCAGTGCTCCTGGCCTCCTCCTGCAGCGCCCCCTGCCGGAGAGGCTGGAGTAGCTGGGGGCTCCCCTGGAGTGCCCCCCACACCTGCCAGAGACCTGGGCCCTACCTGCAGCCGGTGCACAATGTCCTTAACCTCGTCCCCTTGGCCGTCAGGGAGCTGCACAGAGACGTAATCCCCAGAGCCATAGTAGAGGTCCAGGCCGCAGTCAGAGTAGGTCCAAGCCAGTATGTCACGGCAGGAACAGTTGAAGACGACTCGCTTGACCTTAACCTCAATGAGCACCAGGAACTCAGCTGAGATGCCCAGCAGGCAGGGCAGCTCGGGAGCGGCCCGGTTCCCGTCTCGTGCCCGCACACTCCACACCAGGGCCCCGGCACTCTGCAGCTCCCAAGCCTTGGCACTCTTGGCCCGCTCCTTCTTCTTTGCACCCAGGGAGAGCAGGGGCAGGCGAGAGGAAGAGGCCTCCAGGCTGGTGGTGGTCGAATGGCTGCGTGCCAAGTCCTGCAGGTACTCCTGGCGTGTGCGGGTAGCCATGGCGTGGAATTTGCCTGACCGCTCAGCCGCATTCTCTGCATTGATGGCTTTGGCCAGGAGGAAGTGCCGGAAGGCAGGTGTCCGGGGGAAGCGGTGCCCAGCTGGGATGGGCGGCCCAAAGAGTGGGATGTCCTTGGTGCGGCTCACTGCCACACTGAGGGGAGAGATGGGAGTCAGGGCATGGGACAGTTGGGGACAGCCAGGAGTTCAGCCAGTGACTGGGATTGCAAGGAGGCAGGTAACAAGGGAAAGACTTTGGCACATGCACTGCCCCACACTTGGCACACACAGCACACGCTCCCTCTTCCCCTGTACGTGTCACACTCAACACACGCTCCCTCTTCCCCTGTACGTGTCACACTCAACACACGCTCCCTCTTCCCCTGTACGTGTCACACTCAACACACGCTCCCTCTTCCCCTGTACGTGTCACACTCAACACACGCTCCCTCTTCCCCTGTACGTGTCACACTCAACACACGCTCCCTCTTCCCCTGTACGTGTCACACTCAACACACGCTCCCTCTTCCCCTGTACGTGTCACACTCAACACACGCTCCCTCTTCCCCTGTACGTGTCACACTCAACACACGCTCCCTCTTCCCCTGTACGTGTCACACTCAACACACGCTCCCTCTTCCCCTGTACGTGTCACACTCAACACACGCTCCCTCTTCCCCTGTACGTGTCACACTCAACACACGCTCCCTCTTCCCCTGTACGTGTCACACTCAACACACGCTCCCTCTTCCCCTGTACGTGTCACACTCAACACACGCTCCCTCTTCCCCTGTACGTGTCACACTCAACACACGCTCCCTCTTCCCCTGTACGTGTCACACTCAACACACGCTCCCTCTTCCCCTGTACGTGTCACACTCAACACACGCTCCCTCTTCCCCTGTACGTGTCACACTCAACACACGCTCCCTCTTCCCCTGTACGTGTCACACTCAACACACGCTCCCTCTTCCCCTGTACGTGTCACACTCAACACACGCTCCCTCTTCCCCTGTACGTGTCACACTCAACACACGCTCCCTCTTCCCCTGTACGTGTCACACTCAACACACGCTCCCTCTTCCCCTGTACGTGTCACACTCAACACACGCTCCCTCTTCCCCTGTACGTGTCACACTCAACACACGCTCCCTCTTCCCCTGTACGTGTCACACTCAACACACGCTCCCTCTTCCCCTGTACGTGTCACACTCAACACACGCTCCCTCTTCCCCTGTACGTGTCACACTCAACACACGCTCCCTCTTCCCCTGTACGTGTCACACTCAACACACGCTCCCTCTTCCCCTGTACGTGTCACACTCAACACACGCTCCCTCTTCCCCTGTACGTGTCACACTCAACACACGCTCCCTCTTCCCCTGTACGTGTCACACTCAACACACGCTCCCTCTTCCCCTGTACGTGTCACACTCAACACACGCTCCCTCTTCCCCTGTACGTGTCACACTCAACACACGCTCCCTCTTCCCCTGTACGTGTCACACTCAACACACGCTCCCTCTTCCCCTGTACGTGTCACACTCAACACACGCTCCCTCTTCCCCTGTACGTGTCACACTCAACACACGCTCCCTCTTCCCCTGTACGTGTCACACTCAACACACGCTCCCTCTTCCCCTGTACGTGTCACACTCAACACACACTCCCCCTTCCCCTGTAGGTGTCACACTCAGCACACGCTCCCTCTTCCCCTGTAGGTGTCACACTCAGCACACGCTCCCTCTTCCCCTGTAGGTGTCACACTCAGCACACGCTCCCTCTTCCCCTGTAGGTGTCACACTCAGCACACGCTCCCTCTTCCCCTGTAGGTGTCACACTCAGCACACGCTCCCTCTTCCCCTGTAGGTGTCACACTCAGCACACGCTCCCCCTTCCCCTGTAGGTGTCACACTCAGCACACGCTCCCCCTTCCCCTGTAGGTGTCACACTCAGCACACGCTCCCCCTTCCCCTGTAGGTGTCACACTCAGCACACGCTCCCCCTTCCCCTGTAGGTGACACACTCAGCACACGCTCACCCCTCACCTGTAGGTGGTGCGTTCAGTGCAGGGCTCATGCGCACGTACTATAATGAAGACGTGCTGGAAGTGTGAGCGGATGGTGCGGGGTGTGAAAGGCTGTGCGCCCGGCTCCTGGAAGATGATTGTGACGATGTCATTGCCAATGTGACGCTTTCGTAGCAACTACAACCAGAAAGACAGTGTTACTGCAGCAGTGGGGGAGATCAGGATTTCAGCTGTTCATGGGGGGAACCTCCCCTCCTTCCAGGTCATCTTACCCTAGCCCCCTTTCCTGGTCCACCTGGACTCTCCAACTCTTCCTGGAGCTTCCCTGGTGCCCTCCCTGAACCTTCTGGACTTCTCCTTCCCAGAAACCCACTGGATCCTTCCCTCTGAAGCCCCTGGTGAACTCCAGAATCCCATCCCCATGCCAGTCCCATCCCAGAGCCCTGGCCCCCCCTCACCTGCTGGAGACATGGAACATGATCTCATAGTCCTGGTACGTGGTGTACAGTGAGTGGGTGCCCGTGGAGTCAGCTGAGGGAGACACAGGATGGGAAATTTCAGTGGGAGAGGGAGTTATGGGGGCAGAGAGAGATAGGGGCTCAACAGTGATAGCAAGGAAAGCCCTGACTGGGTCAAGTGGAGTTCCCTCCTTCAGAACCTCCCCTCCCTTGTTGCTAATGTCTCATAGTCCTGGTACGTGGTGTACAGTGAGTGGGTGCCCGTGGAGTCAGCTGAGGGAGACACAGGATGGGAAATTTCAGTGGGAGAGGGAGTTATGGGGGCAGAGAGAGATAGGGGCTCAACAGTGATAGCAAGGAAAGCCCTGACTGGGTCAAGTGGAGTTCCCTCCTTCAGAACCTCCCCTCCCTTGTTGCTAATGTGTTCTACTCTGGAGTTAAGAAGGAATTCTAAGACTAGGCTTCCTACCCCATGGAATGGGCTGAGGGCTGACAGAGTACAGCCTGATAGGACAGCTCCCAATGTGTGTACTGGTGCCAATGCAGTCCAGCCCCATTACAAGCCTCCTGGCCAGGGTTCCCTGTAAGGTACGTGCCTACAAGAGTGTACACCAAGAATTTCAGTTCCGCCCACCTCCTCAGCAGAGCTGTGCAGCGGTGGGCCCAGCTGTTCCTGCGGGTGGAGCTGCATGGTGAATGGTTGCCCTGATCCAGGAGCATCTGGGCAGCCACCATGTGGCCTGTGTGGTGGCTGCTGGAGCTGGAGCCTGGGCCACAGTACTAAAAATAGCACCACAGCCCTGGTTCCAGTCCTGGCACACGGGGCTGCTGCCCGCCACGTGGCCCCACCGCCAGGAGCAGCAGGGACCATGGCTGCATGGCGGCTGCTAGGGCCAGGACTTCAGTACTAAAAATAGCACTGCGGTCCCAGCTCAAGTCCCAGAACACAGGGTGTGCGGCCCCATGTGCTGGGACTCGAACTGGGGCCATGATGTTATTTTGAGTACCATGGTCCCAGGCCCAGCCGCCACATGGCCTCAGTTGTTCTCAGGGTGGTAGTTCTCGGGGCAGCTGCCATGGGTCTGAAGCCGAGCTGTGGTGCAGCTGCTCCTGTGCCAAAGCCAGGGTACTAGAAATAGCACCGCTGCCCAGGCTCCAGCCCTGGCACATGGGACATCTGCCTGTCAAGCCCTGAACCAGGGAGCTAAAGGAGGCTGAGGAGTGCAGGTGTCAGGAAGACAGAAGGTGAGGGATGGGGCAGGGGGAGAACTAAGGGCAAGGTGGGTATGAGGAGAGGAAGGGGCTTATGCTGAGGGGAGAGGAGGGGGCCAAGGCAGGAGAAGAAAGGGGAAGATACCAAGGGCCAGGGTGGAGGAGAGACAAATACCAGGGGCCAAGAGGAGATAATGAGGGGAAAGGGCAGGAGGAGTGGAGATGGGATAGGAAGGTGTCAGTGGGGGTGGGAGAGGGGAGGGAAAAAGGTGATGCTGGCAGAGGAGAGGGGAGGGGCAATGGGGGCAAGAGGGAGGAAGACTGGGTGCTGGGAAAAGAGGGGTTGAAAGGGGACGTGGGCATGAGGAAGGCTGGGAATGGAGCAAGTCATGTGTGAGGGCACAGAGGGGTATGAGGAGAACTGGGGCACAGGGTGGTGAGGGGGTGGGCACCAGGGAGGAAGAGAGCAAGGGAAGTCAGGGTCAGTGAGGGAAGGGGAAGGCACCAGGAGGGTGAAGGGGTAAGTGCAGGTGCCAGGGAGATTGTGGGGGTGAAGCAGAAGTGCAGACACATGGAGGAGAGGGACAGGCATCAGAGGGCAGAGGAGAGAGGCAGGGCAGGTGGGTGGAAGGATGTGTTAGGAGAGGAGATGGAAGGGGAGCTAGAGGAGGGGTGGGCACAACGGGGAAGAGAAGGGCAGGTGCATGGGTCAGAGAGGAGTGGGAGGGAGCAGGTCCCAGGATGGCTGAGGGGAGTGAGAAGGGCAGGAGCCAGGATGGCAGAGGAGGGTGAGAGGAGGGGGAGCAGACGGGGTGAGGGGAGGGTGGGAAACATGGCAGCAGAGAGGAAAAGGGAGAGGTTTATAATTTGGGTGCCATGGTGGCACACATCCAAACAAGCGCACATGACTTCGATATTGGTGCAGAAGACAAAAATCAGTCATGGATGGAAAATCTTAGCGGGAACACTGCTCCTGGCCCCTTTCTCAGTAGTCCAACCCTCTGGTTCCTCCTCTCCAAGGTCTGGCCCCATATTTTCTTGATCCTCCCCCAAAATTGCCCCTTTCCTGGGTCTCCCCCTCCCTTCTCTGGAGTTTAAAGCTAGAGGGGACAATTGTGCTTCCATGTAGCACAGGCCATAGGGCCACCCACAAACATTTCCTGGTTGACCGAGAGTGAATTGGTTAGAAAACCATCCCTCCAGGCTGGAAAATGTCCAGGTGTGGAGAATCCATCCCAGCCCTGGCAAAGCTGTAACAGCAGTTTATGATCCACTGTTAACAGACTGAATGGGTCTAGCTTCAGCTGCCAGCCACAGGATTGTGTCTGGCCTGACGAGCCTCCGTTAGCCCGGTTCTATTCCCTGCGTAGGTGCTTAGGGATGGTGGCCAAGGATCAGCTTAAGGTGGCACTGGCAGTCCCTGCTCAGCAGGTTACTTCCTCCTTGCTCCTTTCTGAAGTCACTGCTTCCCAGGGCAGAGCCCCTCGCCTTACGAGTGTGGTTGGGCCTCTTTGCATGGGCCTGTTCACAGTTACTGCCCTGGCAGCCCTTCCTCACACTCACTCTTGGTGTCGAGCTGGGCACGGTACTTGGTGAAGCCGCGCAGTTGGACGTGCTGACCCAGCAGCTCCAGGAACTCCTGGAAGGGGGGCCCAGCCCCCTCGTTGTTGTACATCTCCTCCTCGGAGCCCTGCCCCGTCCGGCAGTACAAAACGCCCACCTTGCGCTGGAAACTCACCTGGGGAGGGGAGTGGTTAGGGGAACAAGAGATCAGCCAATACAACACCCCCAAACTGTCCTGATTCAACCCACAGCCACCTTCAGAGGAACCCCTAACTCAACTCCTCAAAATACCCTGACCCTCCACAGCAATCTCCGATGAGAGCTTTAACTGAACTCCTCAGAATACCTTAGTCTCATCCCAATGCAGCATCCATCACTGATTTAAACTCCCAAACTACCCAGTCTTGATCCCTTGACACAGTGACCCCAATGGGGCCCCCTAAACTGACCTTTCTCAAAGTGTTCAAGCCCCTGACTGAATACTTTGATCTAACTCCCCCAAAACCACCCATCAGAACCCCTCAACTACCCTGATCCAACTCTTCGAGAACTGCCCTTCTCCCAGAACCTGGCTTCCCTTCTTGCCCCAAACTTCCCCACCACTGCCACGGTGGTACCCCCAAAGCAGGCAGGTTCCCCTGGGGCACTCAGTGACTCACACACTCACCCCCTGCTCATCCAGCTTGAGCAGCGTCTCTGGCACCTTGGGCGAGTTGGATGCCAGGCGCAGTCCCTGCAGGTTCAGGTCAGGCAGCAAGTGCTCCAGCAGCTTCTTGGGGGACAGCCCGCGGGCAGCAGGGGGGCGGGCGGTGGGGGGCAGTGCCTCCTCCAGCACTGAGCCACGCAGGGTCCGCAGCTGTGAGGAGAGGCCATGACAGGGGAGGTGAAAATGATGATCAGGACCTCCTGGCAAGGACTCCCCCCAGAGCGTCCCCTCCCCCTGGCAGTGCCCTCAGTACTGAAAGCTCCCCCCAGGCTGTGGTCTCCCTCTGGTGGTGCCCACCTCACTGGTGCGCAGGATGAGGCGGTAGATGTACTGCAGGCTGGCCCCTTCCTTCTCCTCGCGCCGCAGAGACAAGGCCACCGCCCCCAGGCGCTCATCCATCCCGAAGAAGTTCTGGTGCTCTGTGCCAGGGGAGGGATGTTAGAGATGGGCAGCGCCAGAACTGTCCCCAACCTCCCCACACCACATATGCCATGACCCCCCCAAATGCCAGCTTTGTGGACCCTCACTTTCACTTCCCCCATCTCTGAATGCCGGCCCCCTCTCTCCCACAGCTCACCCTCGTATAGCAGCACTCATACCAGCTAGCCCATTGTCCTCACCTGTACTGCCCCCAGCACCATGCCCTCTATGTCCTCTGCCCCTTCCTCCTCACTCCTTGTACTCCCTGCCCCTGCATCCTACCCCCCTGCCCTGGCTCACCCTTGCCATAGAAGTATTTGCGGTAGTAGCTGGCGCCCTGATCAGCATACTCAATGCAATGGGTGGCTCGGCTGCCTCGGGGGAGGTAGCTCTCTCGTGGCTCCTCCAGCACTGACACGGCTGCATTGGGCAGCTGCCCGGCACCCCCTCCTGCTGCCTGGCGCCGGCCCAGCCCTCCTTCTTCCTCGCCCCCTGTCTCGTTGCGAAAGTGGGGGCAACTGAGCACCAGGGGCCCATCTTTGCCATCACCAGAGTCAGGTTCCTCAGGGACAGGGGTGGGGGTAGGCCCTGCTGAGGCAGCCGAGGCCCCTGTGGTGATGTTACGCACCCGGCGCCCGGCACTGCCCTGGCACCAAGCCGCCTCACTTGGATCAAAGAGGATGCTTTGCACATCATAGTGGGCCAGCTGGCGCACCCAGACCTGAGGAGGGAACTTGGGGGGCTCTTCCCCTCTGTCCTGTGATGGCATGGTGGCCCCAGCCCCCTGGCCATCCACCTCCCACACCTCGTCTGTTGTGAGCCCCAGCAGCACTAGGGGGTCCCAGAAACGCCGGGCAGCTGGGCTTCCCACCCGGGGCTCCTCATGGCTGTGGGCGCGGGTGCGAGGGGGCACTGGGACTCTCTCAATAGAGCTTAGGCTGCCATAGTCTCGGTGCAGCCCGGACTCCCCACTTCCCACCAGTGATGAGGAGGGGGGTGCCCCGTCCCCAGGCAATCCCTCCCCAAGGGTCACATCACTGTTGCTGCGGTGCATGATGTGGCTGGCAGGCCTCAGGGCCAGGCCAGGTGGGGTGCCATGTGCCCTAGGGAGTCCCTGGGTCACCTCACTCCGGGCGGAGCGCAAGACGGGGGCTGAGAGCCCCTTGGCATCGAAGGAGATGGAGGACAGAGGGGGCCGGGTGGTGTGCCGTCGGATCTTGCGGACAAAGAGGTCATCTGACTGCATGGCCCTCCTCCCCACCAGCACCTCCCCCCCCAGAAAATGGGAATGAGATGGCCTGGCTGAGGGAGAGACACAGCTGCTGATCACATGCAGGCAGGCTCAGGGGAGCAAGAGTCAAGGAAACAATCCAATTGGCTGGGAAGGACGACGACGTGCTCTGCCCCTTCTCCTTTATGGCCACTGGCTGTCAGTGGGCATGGCCCACCGTCTCATTGGATGGTGGGGAGGCACTGCTGTGCTGGAAGGCGTCAAATCTAGCCATGGGGCATGGCCAGCCAAGGTGCCTTGCTCAGGGGCTCTTGGGGCAGCCCCAGTGCTGGGCAGGGTTCTCAGCTCTCGAGTGCTGGTGAAGCAGCCTGCTCAGTTCCAGGTCCGGGTCTGGGTGGAACGCCGCCTTCCTGCAAAGGGAATTGGGGGCAGATCTAAGATGGGGAGACCGGGAGAGGCCCAGACTGCAATGCTGGACCCCATCATCCCAGCACTGAGGCAATTTGTGAAAGGTCACATCCCCCCAGTTGACCCAATACGCCAGGAGCATTTCTGGTGACTGGCTGGATACCCTTCCCCTGGTGTGATGGGAGCAGCCTGGAAACACGCCAGGTGCCAATCTGGGACGCTCGCCAGGGAGATGATGAGGAAAGGGGCTGTTTGCCTTGACAAGAGGGTATTTCTACAGTAATTTTCTCTATCAAATACTGAGCCATTCCCTCTCTGATACCTGGGGTATGTCTACACTACAAAGTTAATTCGAACTAACAGACGTTAGTTCAAATTAACTTTGATAGGCGCTACACATACAAACCACTAGTTTGAACTTAATTTGAACTAGCGGAGCGCTTAATTCGAACTAGGTAAACCTCATTCTACGAGGACTAATGCCTAGTTCAAATTAAGGGCTGTTTAGCCACTTAATTCGAACTAGTGGGAGGCTAGCCCTGGTGGCCACTATGGACACCACCAGGGAAACTCATCTGCCCCCTTCCTGGCCCCGGAGCCCTTAAAGGGGCCTGGTCTGGCTACGGTGCCCATGCCAGGTGCAAGCCTGCCAGCACCCAGCCAGCAGACCCTGCACCTGGCACAGCACGAGCCAGCCAGCCACTCAC